GTCCGCTTGAACGAAGTGCTGTACTGTGTTAAGCCTCTTTTCCTGTTGATATGAGATGGTCCTTTTCTTTTTTTAGAGAGATTTTTTGCTATAAGGTGTGTGCCCTCACTGGAGAGACTGAGAGAGAGAAAGCAAGAAATCACCCCCCAGGGGAGACGGTCACACTGCAATCCCCTCTCCTCCAATCTCCTCTTGAAATTTTGGTCACGCATGCACATGTGCCCAACATGAGTTTCAAGCAGTCCAGGGCTCAAACAGCAGTCAGCCATGTGGGAGTCCAACAATGTAACCACTATGCCATCTGCTGGTCCCATAGATGGTCATTTTCTACTCTGGTACTTTTGCCCAACACAGAGCTACATACACAGCAGACTCCACAGATTTACGTTCACATGTTAATTGTTCGAGTTTTAGACAAAGTTGAATGGCCAAGCCCATTCTGTTTCTCTCTTCCTTGCTGTGTGCCCACACCAGGTACTCCCTGAAAGATAGCACATTACGATATTTTGCCTCCTTGCATCAGCCTCCCTCCCTCTGGTAGCTTTTGTCACTGAAGCCTGAGTCATCTCCCCCTGCCCCCTCTCTGTTTCAGCTTTTTTAGTTAGCTTCTTTTGTGCTTCTGGAATCCAGGGCGTGTGTACCTCGGTCTTCAGTTCCCATGGTGACCAACATCTTTGTTCGAATGCTGAGCTCTGACACTGAGTGAGATAAAATATAGCGCCCTGGAGGACAGCTTCTTTGAAGATGGGGAGATAGAGGCTTATTAACAGGCTTACGAAAATGTGTACACTTCATATTTATTTCCTTGTAGGAGCTCAAAGCGCTTTATGAGCATTCCTTAACACACTCAAGCGTGCTTGTGCATTCAAAAAGCTGGGGGCACTGTGTTATTATCGTCCATGTACAGATCGGAAGCTGAAGCGGGGAGGGATGAAGTAACTTGGCCGTGAATGCAAGCCGAGTCAGCCAGAGCAGGGCTTTTTTCATATAACAGGGCTGTGTGCCTGGTAGGACTTGGTTGGCTGGCTTTTTTGTGCCGTTCCGTGATTGGAGTTGGGGCGAGTTGGTTACATTCGCAGAGAAGAAACCACATCTGTCTATTTCTATAGCCCACCCAGCTTTGTTTGTTTTCCAGTAAAATGCTTCCATGATGAAGCAATGGGAAATTTTTTATCTTTGTTACAAGCAGTTCAGTCTGCCTGGGAATAAATGTAAAGAATTGGGGGTTTTCCAGTAGACACTTTTCAGAATCCCTGAATGACAACACTCTCTGCGTCACTTTGTGCTGAGTCTCCTTCAACCTCTCAAAGCAATCCCTTCTTGGCATCCCTCAACAAGCTCTCATCCCTCACCTATCAGCAGCAACTATCTGATCCTCTTTTTGTATGACAGATATGCCTGGTATCGATCCTTACCATGAATATAGCCAGTACTTAGTCACTAGGGACTCCCAAGTTGCTGTCTCTAGATCCATCTCTTCCTCGAATCAACATTTCTGATTGCAGTTCCTTCCCAGGTTAAAGGATATTCCTACAGTATCACACACAGTTAAATATTTAATTAATAATTGTTGCATACATGTATTTTTTACATTTAATTCCTATACATCTTCACACATACAAAATGAATTTTCCCAGCATGAATACGCTGCATATTAGTCCAGTCAAAGATATTGCCAAACACATGATCATCAGAAAATCTTCCGTTGTTGTGTCTGTTAAATGCTCTGCTTTCTTTTTCTCTCGATTCCCACCCTCCTGTGCCCTCCTCCATTGCCCACCCTCCTCCCACACTGTCTCTAGTATCCGCAGTTGCTCTCCATGCTTTTATACCTTCCAAGCTTTCCATTTCTGCCATAGAGTACATTCAGTATATATTAAGTGGGGACATACAATGCCTCTCTTTCATAGTCTGGTTTGCTTTGCTTAGCATTAAATCTGTTTCACAGGAGCACCTTAACATCAGCATGCTACCAAGCCACACCCCACCCCCACTCCTTTCCAAAGTTACTCTTAGCCTTATTCTCAGTTCTAGAGGCATCAGCTGCCACCCAGAGGGTTAGCCAAAGCCCTGGTCAATCCTCTTCTCCCCTTGCATTCTCACTGCCCTCTACATCGAGTTCCCTCTGAAAGCTCTACTTTGCCCAGGCCCTCATCATCTCACCCTGGGTTCTTGCTAGCCTCTGGTAACCACACATCTTTCAAACCCCTGCCCTTTCCCCTGTCTCTTCACTGTCACCAGAGAGGTCTTTCTAAAACACAATCTTATCATGAATACTGCTTTAGAACACCTTGTATCTCAGAGCAGCTTCAAACTCTAGTATGGCACTCAGGGCCTTCCCAGCCTGACTGTGGTCAGTCTGCTTTTCCTCTTTTAGTTCCCACCACTGTCCCCTTCATATGTTCTCAGATTTGCTTTATATGAGTGAATGAGTGAAAGAATACGGGGGCAAACAGAGTCACATAAACCCGTATCTCACTCAGGTCTGTCAGTGCTGTCATCTTCACTGTTTCAGCCTGACAACAGTCACTTGTATTGTTTGTCCCAGAATTGTTCATTTAGCCAAGGGCTCAATGTGTCATTTGTAACACCTTACTGTGTTAGGTGCTCAGGATACAGAGCGACAGATAGCTTTGCCTTCACAGAGCTTATGGTCTACCAGGGGATTCAGACCATAGATATCTCTGCCTTCATAGAGCTTATGGTCTACCAGGGGATTCAGACCATACGCAATGAACGTAATAAGTTAATTCTATAGTATGTTAAAAGGTGGCCAATGCTATTAAATAGAGTGAAAATGTAGAGCAAAGGAAGGAATGGAGGTGAGGAACGGGTTTACAAGATTAAATAGGGTTTTGAGAATTGACTTCATGGAGCAAAGCAGAATTGTCAATTGAGCTGATTCAGGATATTACCAAGAATTGACCTCATGGAGCAAAGCGGAATTGTCAATTGAGCTGATTCAGGATATTACTTTAGGTTACTGTCATGTCCTTTATCTTGGGAGTCAGGGAATCAAAAGGCTGTTCTGAGCCCATTGTGAAGTTACAACAGTAGCGACTGTCGTGCGCTTCCCTTGTGACAGGCATTGGGATGAACCATTTGCACCGTATTTTCTCCTTGAATCTCCACAACAGCCTTCTGAGATTGATACTGTCACCATCCCTATTTAACAAGTGAAGGATCTGAAAATTCGAGAAATTAAAGAATTTGCCTAAAACCATGAGCAGGGAAGTGGCAGAGGCTTTGAACACACACTAGGCATCTTGCCTACAACCGATACAGGAAGATGCGTGAGGGCCTCTCCTTTGGACCCTTCCTAAGTCACTCACTTGAAAAAGCCAACATTGTCCCTTTTCCCAGAGAACTGTTCAGAATCACAGCATAAGGAGGGTGTGCCTCTGCTTCCACATTCAGCATCTCATTCACTTCTGACAGATGGTTCTCCATCTAAACTCTCTTTGTAACAATTAAAAAAAAAAAAATCCTTCCTCTATCCACTAATTCAATTTCCTCTTATTTGAGCATCACTCAAGCTCAAGCTGAACTTCTCTCATCTGCCTTAAAGACTTTTCTTGGATGTATTTGGAGAACCAAGCTTCAAAATTGGTCTCAGCTATGTCCATGTACTATAGCTGTTGTCTAGACATTGGAATAACCAATCTCTTACCAATGAAATCCTGGCTGTTTTCACATCAGTGACCTTTAATCAACATGCTGAATGTTTGTCGAGCATGACTAACCACTTATAAAAGAGCAAAGCATGATTCAGAGAACGCCACCAAAAATAATGCATTATTTGGCCTAATCTTGGCCTGGTGCAAACTCAGACTTTTGAGTCATAAAGCTCATTAGAACCCGGGATGTATTTGACTCTAATAAAGATTTTAGTGCAACCCAGATTTAGAGTGGTATATTTAGGGTAGGCTCAAGATGAATTTTGGAATGGAGGCAGATGACATAAGAGAGAAAATAATCTTGAAAAGAAATTCTCTAACCCAACTTCTACCATCAGGAGAAATACTTGGTCTAGGAAATATCTCTTACAGAAAAAGAAGGCGTTCATGATTTGAACAGGCAAAGGGATTTATTAGAAGTAATTTATTTAGTTGAAGCATGTTTAAAGCTGTGTCAGTCCTGACTTTTTGGCTCTGGGCTTGTTTTTGTTGTTGGTTTTACTCCCTTTGTTCATGAGAAAGTATGCGTATACACAAGAGAGAAAGAGAGAGATAAGCACCCTCCACAGGATCCGGTCATGCCCTACTCCTTTTCCTCTGGCTTCTTCCACCCCTCAGATCTTGGGTACTTGAGTGCATGCCCAGCTTGTTTCAGACTGACCAGGCCAGGGAGTCAAAATGCAGTCACCATGTTGGGATCCTGCTTCTCCTGAGCAGTGCTTTACCACTGCACCATGGAGCCAGCCCAAGCTCTGTTTTCCAATGAAGCTGCTATGTGTCACAGTGTGATGTGCTCTGTCGTTCGAGCTGCTCGACGCCGGAAGAAACATCAGCTCCCACACGTCCCACTGCAGCTCTACCTACTCCCTTTGTCCTCCCTCCTACTGCGCTCATGGCAGAGGCAGAGAAGAGGAGTACCTGGGGCGGTGGAGGGAGCTAAAGAGAAGGGCAAAGGCATGGTCTTGGGGAAGTCAGCCTATCGTCCCTTTGGGAGACTCCAGGAAAAAGAAGAAAACTCACATTGAGTGTGCAGCTGCTGTTTTGGACCATGCATTAGAGTTTTTAACATCTATTTTTGTTGAGTTAATGCTCAACAAATTTGGAGGAAAAAAGAAAAAATGCCCCATATTTATAATGAGGAAACTTGGAGAGGTCAAATCCACCCACCTAGGAAGGGATGAATCCACAGTCTTACCAGCCTGTTTGTCATAATAAGGTGGCAAGTGACTTTTCTTAAAAGGTTTTCCTGCTAAGTCATGTCCTTTCTCAACCAGCTCTTGCTCTTGTATTCCCAGGCAGTTTGGTGGTTATGCCAAGGAGGCAGACTATGTAGCCCACGCCGCCCAGCTGCGCGCTGCCCTCGAGGGCACAGCCACCTACCAGAGCGATGTCTACTTCTGCACAGGATATGACCCTCCCATGAAGCCCTACGGACGTCGCAATGAGATCTGGCTGATAAAGACATGAGTAACTCACTATGCCAAGAACTTCCCTGGCCAAGAGCATCTGTCTCATTGATCTAGAAAATTCTGGGGCAGACCAGAAAAACTCTAACAGCATTTTCCCAGCCACCTGGATCACTAAAAACTGATGCTTATAAATGATTGAATTTGTATTTTTGTTATTGGGGTGAAGATGTGATTTTAGATGATCTTTTGTGATTCTTATAGGAGCTTTGTCTAAAAAAGAAACTAAAAATAAAATCTTTGACTTACACAGCTAAGACAAATTCTAAGTACAATATCCAAGGTTTTACAGGCTTATAGATAATATAAATTTGAAAGATAGTGTTTACTATAGAGGAATTGTGTATGTATAGTTCTAAATCGTTCAGAATATAAACCCGGGCCAGAGGGCAGCACAGTATAAAGCAAGACCCTCTGCAAGGGTGACCCATGTGGGAAAGTTCTGGGTTCTTTCCAGCGACCCTAGTTGAATGCAGTGGACACTCATGTGCCTATGATCAGGTCTGGCTGAGACTGGGGATGGATTGTGGTGTCAGGACACTGCTGGGGGTGCTATCCCTGTCTTTCTCTGTCTCTCACTTGTAGAAAAAAAAAAAAGGTATTTTGGGGGGTTTTTTTGTTTTTTTTAAAGTAGGAAAAGAAAAAAAGGTATTTTTGGGGTTTTTTTTGTTTTTTTTAAAGTAGGAAAAGAAACCCAAAGATCCCAGGGAAGGGAAATGTAGTTCAGATGCCTGGACACCTCTAAACTAGACATTTGCCACGACTGTAACGTAGCATTGTTATGATCATTGGTCGAGGATCGCTTTTGCAGCTGCGGTCCATATAAGGTCCCAGGAGACAAAACAGACCGAGGAGAAACAGTGAACGCACTCTGACATATAAACAACAACGGAGATGGGAACTGTGCCCAGAGCATTTATTCAGGGTGATGGGATTAGAAAGCTCTGGGACCCAGTGACATTAACTGAAGAGGACAGAGATGAGAGAATCAATGTGCAGTTTGGCTGCAGAGAAGGAAAGAGACAGGCGGCTGCAAGCAGGAGGTGGGGAAAGTGGCCGAGCTGGAAGAGTGTGTGTCGGGTGGGTGAGGATGGGAGAGCTTGGTGGGCCTCAGGGTATGTAGAGGGTGCCCCAGTCCTCACAGGGTGCACCAGGGCCCCGCCCTGTCAATAACCCTACTAGGGCAGCTAGAAGGTTTTCCAGAAGGAACCCATCTCAGCACCTACCTGCTCCCATGTGTAGTTACCATGTGAGCACCAGGGGCTCCGTAGCAGGGGAAGGAAAGTGAGATTTCGTTCTCACCATGAAAGGTTCTTACAGAACACCAAGTTGGATTTCCTAAGGTGAGGAGCAAGACCTGTCATCCCTTCACTGGGGGCCTCTCTGTGGTCTCTCCTGAGGGACAGGGCATGACTTTCCAGCTACCAAGCTCTGACTATCAGAAACTGTCGAGTCTTGCACAGCTATACAAATGCATGTTTTGAGTGAGGGGACTGCTGCTCCTTACAAGAAACCATGCTGGAGACCAGCAGATGGCGTAACGGTTACATTGCTGGACTCTCACTTCGTCAACTGTGGTTTGAGTCCCAGACTCGGCAGCTTAAAACATGCCGGGCACATGTGTGTGCGTGCCCAAAATCCTGAGAGGAGAATGGAGGAGAAGGGATTGCAGTGTAGCCATCTCCCCTGGAGGGGGGGTGATTTCTCCCTTTCGGTCTTTCTATCTCTCTGTGTCTCTCTTGTGAGCAAATGCTCCCTATAGTAAAAATCTCTCAAAAGAAAAAAGAAAGAAACCCCTCTGGGCACTTCGTATGTATCCTCCATTCCTGCACGTATAGACAGGCTCCAGAAGGGAGGGACCGTCATTACCCTCACGCACTGGTGAGGAAGTGGAGGCTCACTCTGAACTTGGGGCCAAGATAAAAGTGCTGCTACAGGGATCATAACATGTTAAGCAGTTTGAATTTTGTCCTAAGAGAGATGAAAAGTATTTGAATAGCTTGCTCTAGGAACATGATGCTGTCATGTTTTAGAAAGCAACTTCTGTTTTGGGGGCAATACAGGGAAGGGGGTGTAACTAGAGGCCGGGACTAAATGAAAGTCACAAGACTAAGCAAAAGATGGTGGAGACTAAGCAAGGATCATGGCAGTGTAGACGGAGAGAGTGGACAGTTTGGAGCAAGAGCCAGATCACAGGACTCGGTGACTAACAGGTGAATGAGATGTGGGAGAAGGGTTGGAAGGGTATCACAACGTACCGCCCCAGAGTTATGCCATTTGGGTATATTGATTATTTCCAGTTGAAAGAAATTGATAAATAGATATAGGAAGGATTCTCTTCCCTCCCTCTTTTTTTTTTTTTAAGTTTGTTTTGTTTTGTTTTGCCATATGGTACAAGAGTTCACCAGAAAGAGACAGAGAGAAACAGTGAGAGGGGAAGTGAGAAATTACTCCCCATGGAGGATGGCCATGCCATGATCCCTTCTCCTCCATTCTCTTCTCAGGATTTTGGGCACTCATGCACACAAGCCCAGCGTGATTTTCATGCTGCCAAGCCCAGGACTCAAACCAGGGTTGGCCATGTGGAAATCCAGCACCTTAACCATCATGCCTCCTGCTGATCCCTCCCCTTTATTTCCCTAAAAGCAGTACACAAATTTACCCTGAGAAAGACTCTCTTTGTACCAGAAAGAGGAGAATATTCTTATCACCAGGAATGGGGAGTCAATTCCAAGGTGAGTCTATACGAACGCATATTACTAAAATCATACTTACCTTTCTTTCATTTTCCTCCTTATGTTTCCTTGTCACTTCACACCACATTTTTTTGTCTTTGTTAAAATTATATATAATCCCCAGGTCTAAATGCTTCTTTAGGGCTTTCGTTTCTTGTATGAAGCTCCCATGCCAAATAAAAATGTTAATAGCAGGGGACTAGCAGATGGCATAACGGCTACGTCACTGGACTCTCATGTAGTCAACGGCAGTTTGAGTCCCAGACACAGTGGCTTAAACTCATGCCGGGTGCCGTGTGTGTGTGTGTGTGTGTGTATGTGTGTGTGTGTGCGCTCAAGATCCTGAGAGGAGAGTGGAGAAGGGATTGCGGCTTGGCCAGTCCCCGGGGAGGTGTGTGTGTGTGGGGGGGTGATTTCTCACTTTCTGTCTCTGTCTGTTTTCTTTTATCATTAAAAAAAAAAAAAAAAAGTTAACATCCAATAAAATGTTTGTGCTTTTTCTACTATTAATCTGTCTTATCAGTTCAATTCACATGCCCCAGCCATAGAACTTAAGGCAGTAGAGGGTCCAACTGGTAGCACAGCACTAACACAATGCTCTGCACTGCTGAACTCACACAGGAAGGCCTTGAGTTTGTGCCCTGAGGCCTCCCTGTACATACCAGCCACACACCTGTGCCCAAGCTCCATGAGGCTGGGGACAGGTTGCAGCCTGCAGACCCTATTAGAGGTGACTCTCTTTCTCAGAAGAAATAAATAAACAAAGTAAGACAGTAGAGGAAAAAGTCTTTCTTTTCCTGTAAGTTCAAATGCAATGCACAGGAATTTAGCTTGGGCAGGTGGGTAGATGGGTCTACCACTCGCTGAAATAGAGGACATGAATGAGAGAAGCAGGCTCACTGAGGAACTGTGCCCACCAGGGAGCGTTCAGGCCTGTGAGCATCCAAGTGAGGCTATCTAGTGGACAGCTGGAGGTACAGGTCACAGGCTACAAACAGCACCTAAGCTGGAGATGCATATTTGGATGTCATCAATATGTAGATGAGTGGGCGGGTGAATTCTGAACTCCGCCAGGCAAAAGCTGTAGAGAAAAAGAGAAGCTAAATAAGAACTCAAAGGAACTCTAATGTTTAGAGATGAACAGAGGAAACAGGCTTGACAAAGATAAAAACCAAAAGGCTGTGTGGTGGCTAGGGGTGCTGGACTCCCACATGGCTGACCACGGTTCGAGTCCTAGACCTGGTGGCTTGCTTTCTCACTTTCTCTCTCTCTCATACTCTGTCCCACTTTGGTCAAATTAAAATAAATAAATATATAAAGCTAATTAAAAAAAAAAAGCTGGTAGCATAGGAGAAATGTCAGAAAATCAAAAAAGAAAAAGTAATCAGCATTAAATACTGCATCGCTAGGTCCCACAGTTAGAAGTTTTATTGATAACAATGAGAACATGTCTGCTGGTGCTAGCCTGAGGCAGTCACCATCACTCCTACCTGAACTCCTCTCTGGTCTCACTTCCACTTCTACCTCTCTTTGGTCCATTTGCTACACGGTTTCCAGAAGAATCTTTGCTTTAAGTCTCAATTTGCACTTAGACTAACTCAAACTCAGTTCCATGACCTACAAGACCCTGTATGATTTGGTCCCTTCTTCTCTAACTTCCCTTTTTTCTAACTTTCCTTATTTCTTCCAGGCACAGGAGACTTCTAGTTCCTTGAACACACTAAACATTTTTGTGCCCCAAGGCCCTGGGACTAGCTGTTATTTCTTCCTGAAACCCTTCTCATTTCCTCAGCAAATGACTGGGTCTTCTCAACTCCCTCCTCACTCCTCATCAAAGGCCTTCAATGGTGCCTCTATCTATCTAAAGCGGGCCCTTTCTATAGTTCTCTATCATAGCATTATTTTCTTCATAACACACCATTTGTAATTTTTGGACTAATTGCACCCCCCTTTTTTGGTCTCTCACACCAGTCTATACATTTGATAAGAAGGAGGCACTTGTCTTCTTTGTTCAACATGATATGTCCAGCATCTAGCTCAGATTCAGGAATGCATTGAGCTTAACAGAAAACATGGCCAACAGTAGCTTAAGCCTATAAGGTTTTCTTTGCTTACATAGCCAGAGGTAGGTTCAGTGACTCAATGCTGACTTACCTTTCTCTTTC